ACATTACCTTCCTACCGCGTCACGTTTTCCCCTCTTATATATATACCAGCCTACCCTACTAGTAAATACTAGAGCATTCGCCAAAGTACATGATAATTCTAGAAACGTTGCGTCACTGTAGTCATATGACTGCTGACGCAACAATATATATATTAGAAGCAGTGTTGATCCTGAAATAATCATTTTCACAAGAAAGTGTACAAACAGCATTTTCTGTGCTAGTAAAGTTGTGAAGTAGGTTTTCACATATTGCTGAACTATACATCAGGAAATAGTTTGAGTTTATGTTCTTACTTCATTTTAATTTATTTTTAGTATACTCAGCTACCAAAATTTTGGAACATGGATTCAGTTATCACTTCACAAATTATGCTCAACTATACAATATGTAACTTGCATTTAAGGTATATTTAAGAAAAAAGAACAATACAAAGCAGAAACATAAAAACTATAAAACAGCAACAACCCTTAAAATCACTAATAAATTTGGGAATAGTAATCAATATATCTGGGCTGTCTATTATTAGTGAATCAGTTTTTACTATTACTAGTTCAATTTTACAGTGGATGCAATTATTGATTGGTATACACTCCTATATATTAGCTTGACCATTTGCTGAGAAATATTTGTAACAACATAGGAATTCTAATTGAAAGAATAGGTTAATACATGTCATATGAGAGTTTATCAATGCAAAATGGGACAGTATCCTACATAAGCTTCACCTATAAATTATATCACAGACTAATGGCAACATATTTTTGCATTTCTGCCATCTATTGGTGTGAATTAGTAATAGTTAGCTCTGAAAGAAAACCTTAATAAACTATGTTAAATCACGTTAAAAAATCTAGAAAGAAAATTACACAACATATGTATGCAACACAACATGGCAAGAGTGTAAAGAAGCTTACATTAACATAACAAAAGAAACAACTAAACCTTTATGGTTTTATTACTCAAACATTCATGCCACAATTGATCATAATTTTATTATTATTAAAACTTACTGGAACTATTGTCTACCCACTTCTTCCAGACTTGATATTCATCAAAAGGAGAACACTTTAAAAACCTATAAAAACCAAAAACTTTAAAATTTTTAATTCTATAATCTTGCAGGAAAACATTTGTAGATAATTTTAAATTCATATTGTAAAATTAAAGAACCATAGAAAAATGGATAAGGCAGCAAATGTAATTGTTCATACTAACCCTATCCCATATGCATGGGTTGGGGTCAAAGTGTGCATGGCACAACCTTTTACATAGTGCCATGTAACATGGTATTATATATTTGATGTCAAAGTTATCTACTATTCAATGTCTGCGTAATTTTGTGAATAGGTGTTTTAATCATGATATTTAGCGGTATATCTTAACCCTATCAGAACCAGTGTACACCTTAACTCTCTTGCTATGGGTTTGGTCCAAACAGCTGAGTTCATGACTCCAAATTAACCTTTAAAGTTTCCATACTATAACTTCTAATATATTTTGTGATCTTCACGAAATTTTGCAAGCTTAATAATCATTAAGAGCCATTTGTAGACAATAAAATAAGAATTTTTAATGAAATATTTTTACTAAACATTTCTCCATCAACACATGGAATCCACGTGTTGACTTCTCAGAGTGATTTTCATGTTAAGGTTAAAAATACTTTTCTTCATTTGAAAAACCTTAAATTTCATTTGCATAATCTCTAAAACTTCTTAAATAAATTTCAAACGTTTTTTTTTCTCTAAACTAAATCTATATGAGGTTCGTTGATTTGACTAGCCTCATAACCACCAAAAAACGAAAAAACCCACTAAGTTACCATTTTCTTTCTTTCTAGAATGACTTCACAAAACTTTTTTTCTAAATAGTTTTAACTTGTAACAGTATACATTTATTTATACTTAGATTTTATCATCTTTTGAACTATGTCTAACTAATATTCGTACTATATAAGTTGTAAATCACTTGGCAAACACACAGCTCATGTTACCCAATTGAATTACATGATACATGAGCTACTCATGAGCATACCTCATGCAAAAGGCTGATTATTATTCTTTATTTTACCTAATCTAATCTAAAAAGTTTCTAATTTTTACATTCTAGCTAATTGTATATAAAAATAAGAAAAGAATACACATGAAAAACAAACAAAGTACTTACTTGGGTCTTCTTTTTCCTTTGCTGTTGACTGTCAATGACACTTAATCCTACTTTTTTTTTTTCATATACTAATGGTACTACTGCACTAAATACTTTTTTATTTAACACTATCGCCCCAGGTACCTTTTACTGCTCATGATACAAGGTTTGTGTCTTACATTAACAATTTTATTAAACTACTTTAGCTAATAATCCATATTTTAATAATACACAAGTTTTAAGTACTTAATTCTACAAGGCAATATTAAAAAAATCTTGAATTTCCACTAGTGTGACACATTTTGTCTTGG